AAAAAAAAGAACCTTTATCCTCATTCTACAAAGGAAACCAAGGACAGATATTCTACAGTAAATATCAATAAACTAAAGCCAGATTACAGGCATTTTTCACTTATTTTCCCAGGCCTGGGATTTGAACTCAGAGCCTAGATGCTGTCCCTGAGCTTCTTTGTACTCAAGGCTAGTACTGTACTACTTAAGCCACAGAGCTACTTCCTGCCTTTCCTTAGTAGTTTATTGGAGATGAGAGTCTCACACAGTTTCCTGCCTGGGCTGGCTTTGAACCACAGTCCTCCGATCTCAGCCTCCTGGGAGGGCACAGATGACAGGCATGAGCCAATGACACCTGGCTGTTCTTAAACATTTTTAAAAGGCTTCTAAAAAAAGGGTGGGGTGGGGAATGGCTCAATTGCTGGAGCACTTAATAGTGCAAGGCTCTAAATTCAAACTCTAGTACCACCCCCAACCCCAATCAACTGGGCATAATGGCACACACTACAGTTTCATCTACTTTTTGTGTGTATGTGTGCTGGTCCTGAGAGTTGAACTCAGAACCTGGGCCCTGTCTCTGAAATTTAGTATTCAAGGCTAGTGCTCTATCACTTTGAGGCACAATTCCACTTCGGGCTTTTGGTGGAGTCTCACAGCCTTTGTTCTTCCAGCCTGGTCTTGAACTGCAAACCTCAGATCTCAGCCTCCTGAGTAGCTAGGATTGCAGGCATGAGCCACCAGTACCAGCTTTCCACTACTTTTTTTTTTGCCAGTCCTGGGGCTTGAACTCAGCGCTTGAGCTCTGTCCTTGAGCCTCTCTGTGCTCAAGGCTAGTGCTCTACTTGAGCCACAGTGCTCACACTTCCGGATTTTTCTGTCTATGTGGTACTGAGGAATTGAACCCAGGGCTTCATGCATGCTAGGCAAACACTCTACCACTAAGCCACATTCCCAGCCCCTTTCCATCTACTTTTTTCTTGTCAGTCGTGGGGCCTGAACTCTGGGAGTGGGCACTGTCCTTCAGCTCTTCAGCTCAAGGCTAGTGCTCTACCACTTGAGCCACAGCCCCACTTCCAGCCTTTTCTGCTTATATGGTGCTGAGGAATCAAACCCAGGGCCCCCTGCATGTGAGGCAAGCACTCTACCACTGAGCCACCTTCCCAGCCCCTCCATCTACTTTTGATGTTGATGCCAGAGGATCATTTGAGTCTTAGAAGTTCAAGGCCAGGTCTGAGAATGTGACATTAGCGGTAGAGTGCTTGCCTAGCATGCATGAAGCCCTGGGTTTGATTCCTCAGTACCACATAAACAGAAAAAGACAGAAATGGCACTGTGGCTCAAGTAGTAGAATGCTAGCCTTGAGCAAGAGAAGCTCAGAACATTGCCCAAGCCCTGAGTCCAAGCTCCAGGACTGGCAAAAAAAAAAAAAAAAAGAAGAAGAAGTTCAAGGCAAGCTAGTGCAATGCAGCACATCCTCATGTTGAGGGATAAAAAAGAGAATTTGCAAGAAGCTAAAATCTGAGGACTGTAGTTCAAAGCCAGCCCAGGCAGAAAAGTCTATGAGACTCTTATGTCCAATTAACCACCACACACACACAAAAATGCAAAAATAGAGCTTTGACTCAAGTGGTAGAGAGTTAGGCTTCAGAAAAAACAAAAAAAAAACACCAACAACTACAACTCAGTGCTCAGGCCTGGAGTTCAAGCCCCAGGATTGAACTAGCACACACAAGAAAAAAGAATATTCCATAGAAAGTATATATGGCGGGTTGGGAAGGTGGCTCAGTGGTAGAATGCTTGCTTTGCAGGCATGAGGCCCTGGGTTCGATTCTTCAGCACCACATAAGCAGAAAAAGCCAGAAGTGGCGCTATGGCTGGAGTAATAGAGCACTAGCCTTGAGCTAAAGAGCTGAGGGACAGCGCCCAGGCCCAGAGTTCAGGCCCCATGACTGGCCAAAAAGAAAAAAGAAAAGAAAGTATATGTGTCTTGCAAAGCCCAAACTATTTACTATCTTGCTGTATATAGTTTGCTGACTCCTGTTGTACAAGAACTTCTGTTCCTACTGTATAGGAAAATGAGCTTTGGCCCTTTACATGACCCTTAGTATGTTATTTGCAGTTATCACAGCCCAAGAACGTTTCTGTAGGTGTGTTATCATATGTTTTCTTTGGTGTATATAGACTCAAACGTCTTAGGTCAGTGACTCTCATGCATTATGGGTGAAGTCCTGCTCAGGTAGGAAAAGTGTGGAAGAGGAGGCTGCAGCTGGTTGTTTGAAGAGGGTCAGAGAGCCTGAAAACTGGGCAGTGGGGCTGTCAATCTGTTTATTAGTCAGCGATGCTGAACCCCAGACCGCTTATCTCTGTGGTCCCAGACTTCAACCCGCTAGGAAATGGTGGAGAATGACAGAGGGAGATTAGGAGGACAAACCGGCCTCCTTTGTCGCGGATATTTAGACACTCCACCCGAGTATTGAGTCCTGGGAGGGTGAGGGCATAAAGACAATCCCCTAGTTCCCCCATTGGTGTGCGCACACTTCTTACTACAGCTTGAAAACAAGTTCCCCGTGGAGGAAGGTAGAGAGCTGTCACCAATGAGAAACTCCTCTCTCGTGCTCATTCCGGCCCCGCGCACTGGTATCATAATTTTCCAGATGAGAAAACGGAGCACAGACCTTCTCAGTAACTTGCCCACGGTCTCAAGGCAGCTCAGTTGCCTTATCTGCAATGCAACTTGAATAACGGGAACTATCTCAGAACCGTGGCTTTCCACAATGCCTGACACAAAATACTTGACACTCCTTTCCATGTCACAACAATGTCAGTAGTTACTATTGCCTGCGTGCGTTTTATGTGCCCTTCCTAGTAAATAGTAACTTAGCATTTATCAGTAACACCATGGCTATTTTGGCTCTCAGCCAAGAGACCAGCCCGCTCACGCTAAGTCATAATCATGCGCCGCGCGGGAAAACTCCTGGAAGGAAAGGTGTCCCTTCCTAAATTCCTTGCTTGCTTTCAGATCACCGCATCGAAAGATAGCGCGACCCAAAGGGTTCCTGATGTTACCAGAAAATAATAGAGGAATACCGGCCGCTCCTGGCAACCAAAGCCTGGAGCGGCGGCGACTAAAGGGAGGGGCAAATATGGCGGAAACTAGGTCTCAAGATGATGGCGCAATCACACTGTGTCACGTCACTGTTGGGAGCATTGTCCGTTGTTTTTTTTTTTTTTCCCCTCTCGTGAGTTCGCGAGAGGTGTGGCCTGCGAGAGGGGCGCCGCCATTCGGCGCGCTTCCTTTTGTAGGCTGGACCGGGGCGGGCTGTAACAGCTACTGGATCCAATGGAAAGAAAGATATGTGTCACCCGGGGCTCCCTGAGTCGCAGGGAGGTTGGCGTCACGAATCAGGCACGGCGAAGGGGGTTGCGCGCTGTGAGTAAAGCGAAAGGATTGGTTGCTATCGACTGCTTGGCGGGGAAGATGGGAGGAGCCTGGAAGACGACGGTTTGGGACTGGCTGGAGAGAATTGGCGAGACTTTAGAGGACTGATTTAAGCCGTGGGGTGGGGTCTTATGGAAGGAAGGGGGCAGGCCCCCGTGAATATGGGCTTGTTGAAAGGCTAGGAGCAGAATTTGAAAGAGTGGAAAGTACTGATCCGGCGGGATAAAGGGGTGGGGCTACGTGAGTCGTTAGTGTTTGAGCGCGGATGGGTCTGGCTGAGTGAAAGCGTGGGTGTTTGTAACGAGGCGATAGGCCGGAAAGGGCAGGTTTGTGAAAGGATACTGGAAGGGGTGTAAGAAATGAGTGAGGCTTGATCGAGTGAAAGGGACGGTGAGTTGCTGGAAAGAGCAGGTCCTAAAATGTCCGGATTGAGTCTGAGGTTAATTGCTCCCAGGAAAAGGCGAGGCGTGAAAAAAGGAGGGGGAAAAAAAAAATCATGTAAAGGGGGCGTGGTCTAGTGGAACAGGCGGGACCAGGTGGGATGGGCACCTCAGTGGCTCGAGAGGCCCTGAAGGGGCGGGATTTAGAGGCACTGCGGATTGGGTTCCTGGGGCCCCTTCGGACCCCCTAACCCCCTCAAAACCACTATCCCGCCAGAGTCGCGTCAGGGCCCGAACCTCCCCAGCTATGACTTCCACCTGCCAGGATTCCACAGCCTCCAGGCAGCGGAAGGGTAGGCAGAATCCCCAATCGCCTTCTCACGATGTGAACGCCATCACGGTGAGGCCCGAGATGTTTATTATTACCCTGATGGGGAGGGAAAGCTAGCTAACCAAGTCTTGCACTCTGATCCTTCTCCCTGATTGGCAGAAGAGAACTGTTAAGAAGGGTGCTGTGCCCCGCTGTACTCCCAATCTATCGGAGATAAAGAAGAAAGGAAAGATGAAGAAGCTTAGCCAACCAGTTGAAGAAGACCTAGTCATGGGGCTGCAAGGGCTGGTGAGAGGGGCCTGGCGCGATGTGGCATTCCGTAACTAACAAAACCCTGTTTCTATGAGTAGTGTGAAATGTTTCCTCTAATTCAGCCCCTGAATGGATATATCTTTTTTCCCCCCTCTGCAGGATCTTAACCCTGAAGTGAAGGTAATGATTGGTACTGGCTTGGTGTTTGATGAACAGCTAAATGATTTTCATTGCCTCTGGGATGACAGGTGAGGCTGGATCCTCCAAACTACAAAATTACAGACTTAGACAGTCCTCCAGCAAGAATGCTTTCTAACAGAAAGGGTAGACCATTTCTCTCAAGGTCAAATCTCAATTCTACATCCTGACCTCTGAGATTCCATGGGATCTGGCTCTACATCACCTTAGTGACTTCATCAGCTCCACCATCCCCATGCACTTCACTTTGTTTTACCTATAGTGCTGTTCTTCCAGCTTTGCCAAACACTTCTTGCTTCAAATCATGACTGATCCCTTTTACAACTCAGTGCTTCTCTCAGAGCCAGACTCTCACAGTCAGTTTGCCTGATCTGAGCTGTTTTCCTAGCCTTTGCCATTGTTTGTTAATCATTATATTCATGCATTTACTCATTTAAAAGCTACCTCCCTTAACCTGATCTTAGGCCAACTCATAAGCACAAAAGTCTCATTTGTGGAGTACATATGAGGAGTGTATGAGAGTAAACAAAAATAGGGGCTGGGAAGGTGGCTCAGTGGTAGAGCGCTTGCCTTGCATGCCTGAGGCCCTGGGTTCGATTCCTCAGCACCATATAAGCA